TCTTTTTGAGACAGGGTCTCCCTGTGCAGTGCAGGCTGGCCTTGAGCTCACTTTGTAGCTCAGGCTGGTCTCAAACTCTCAACGATCGTCCTGCCTCAGCCTCCCAAGTGCTACGATTATAGACACAGGCCACCACGCCCAGCACAGATTCTTCCCACCTTGTGCAGCGGGAGGCTGAGTCCGGGGAGGTAAAAGGACTTGTGTGGGCCGCTCGGCTAGGAATGAGCACAGCTGGAATTTGATGTAAGCTGTGTCTGTCTGATGCTTTCTTTCCCCTGTACCCAGGCTACTTCCGATTTTCAAGAAATATCTGAACACCGTTCTGCAGCAACTTTACAGAAGAACTTGTTTTCCTGAGAGGCTAGAATGGGGCTTTGCCATGAACAAGTGCTGGGCTAGAAAGAGGCCCAACTCTGGCTTTTAGATCAAACAATAACCATTGCTGTCATTTACCGACATGTAAGTCTTCACCCCACAATGCATTCATTCACGTGTGTTATCGCACTCAGCCCTCATCATCCCTCCCCCAGGTAGGATGTACCGATGTCTCCGCTTTGCGACAGGGTCCTTGAGGCTACTTGACCTGTCCGGGGTCAATCATCCAACCAGTTCTAATCCCAGAGCGCCCAGCTCAATCCTAGATCTTTACTTCCTCCCCTGTTTGCCCAGCAAACGTCAGGGCTGTCAGGCTTTCATTACTCTATAGATGAGGACACCGTGCTCAGAGAGGGGACGGCATGACTCAAACTCACACAGTCTCAAGTGACAGACAGACAAGAGGGTCTCCCAGGTGAGCCTCGGCTCCATGGGACAGGGCTGCTCCCTGGTTCGGTTCAGCAGGCTGTGGCTGTCACTGACCCTGTGACACTCAGTCTGGTTTCCTCATCCACAAGATGTGCATAATCAGTTCTGCCTCTTAGGGTCCTCAGTGAAGGAAATGATGAAGAGCTGTGTGTGTGTGCTTTGTAGACTGCTAACATGAAACACACGGGCCGTCATTACCCATGTGTGCGAAGGGAGGGTGGTTCCTTCCCCACCCTACAGACCTCTGTACCTGGCTCGTCTGCTGATATGTGGTTTATTTTGGTCTCCTTGAGTCATCTTTAAAATCCTGCAGAACAGGAACATACTTATATTTCCAACATCTAGGACAAGGCCTGGTCATAGCGGATATGTTCAATAAATATGTGTCAGCCGGGCGTGGTGGTGCACACCTGTAATCCCAGCACTCGGGAGGCTGAGGCGGGAGGCTGAGGCAGGAGGATCGTTGAGAGTTCGAGGCCAGCCTGGGCTACAAAGTGAGCTCAAGGCCAGCCTGAACTGCATAGCAAGACCTGTCTCAAAAAGACAAAAAAAAAAAAAAAAAATTTACAAAAATAAATAAATAAATAAATAAATATGTGTCAAGTGACACAAAGGATAAGAATCACAGGGCCTGACTCAGACAAGGTCTTTCTCTCACTCTCTCTTTTTTTTAAGGCAGAGTCTCACTATATAGCCCAGGCTGCTGAAAATTGTGGAACTTCTCCTGCCTCAGTCTCCCAAGTGCTGAGATTATGTGGTAAGCACTTTCATGCTTACCATGGCGTTAGGAGTTGTGTGCATTTTAACAAGTGCTTTTTTTCCCCAGAGATCTCAAGGTAGGCTAGAGGAGCCAAGGGAGACTTCCTGGACGGCACAAAGGCGGAGGACTTCCTGGAGGAGGAGATCCACAAAGCTCAGAGGCCTGCTCTAACCCTGTCTTTCCTGTGTACCCCCAGAGCCTTCCAAACAGCCAGAGAATGTAATGAACCCCAATACTTGAAATATGTAAAAGAACAACCAAGCAGTCACAAAGAGAAGAGATGAGTAGCCGCAGGAACCGTCCTCGCCGGAGTCAGCAAGGCACAGGCGTCAGCACTGCCCTCCTCTGGAAACGGCTTTCCAGAGTAGATTCAAATGAGACTTGAAATGCTCAAGCCGGTTCCTAAATCTCCCCTTGAATAAGCACAAAAATGAGACTGATAACAGTAGCCAGGCGGGAGAGGATGGGAAATGGCTCCAAGGGCCGATCAATGGATTCTATTTACAGGACAGAAGCTTTCTCAGACCCCAAGCCCCGTATGCAGCCCTCGTCCTCAGAGCTCGCCCTTCTCCCACAAGGTTGTTTGGCTGCGACCGCCCAGTCGGAGGAGCCCAGCGACCTTATTATCTCTCTCTAACACTGAGGCTCCGAAAGGTAAAAGGACTCGCCCTTTTTCCACAGTTGATGGGTCCTGGGAGTTAACCTTAGGCCTGTCTGCTGCACTCTCCCAGGCAACCCTTGGGCCTTACACAGCGCTTTCTCCCATTTCAAGTGCAGAGTGCTATTAGCAAATCCTTGGAGACTGCGGAAAGCAGACAGTCCAGTGATGCTGAACCCCGTTCCCGGGAGACCTGGAAGCAGAGCTGGGCTCCACCTCTGGCCAGCTGAGCACTTGTCCTCAGGCAAAGGACTCGGCCTCTCTAGGCTCCTCTGCAAAACTGGGAAATAATAGTAACCGCCTCATGAACTAGTCAGGAAGACAACCAAGTATAATGTATACATGGGCTTAGGTTTTTGTTGTTGTTGTTTGTTTTTTGTTTTTGTTTTTGTTTTTTTGGTCTATTTAAGATAGAGTCTCGCTATGCAGTTGAGTTTGGTCTTGAGCTCACTTCGTAGCCCAGGCTGGCCTCGAACTCGCAATGATCTTCCTGCCTCAGACTCCCGAGTGCTGGGATTACAGGCATGCGCCACCATGCCTGGCCGTGGATTTAGTTTTAAATACCTGCTATTAGCTGGGTGTGGGGACGCTTGCCTGAAATCCCCGTACTCAGGAGGCTGAGGCAGGAGGATCACTGTGAGTTCAAGGTCAGCCTGGGCTACATAGTGAATTGAAGGCCACCCTGAACTACACAGTGAGAACTGTCTCAAAAAAATAAAATAAAATAAATAAATAGCTGTTATTCAATAAATGGACATTATTTTTACAGCGAGTTCATTCTTTTCCACTTACTAATTTTTTAAGTAAGAGAAAAGAATCATGAATAAAAGCAATTGTATGAAGGTTAGAATTTCCCCCAATCAGTGGGTAGTTTCCTCAGTTCCAATATTTACCTTTATCTTTCTCTACGTGTCCATAAAATTTCCCCGCACTGAGCTGGAATTGACCATAATCCGGCTGATGTTTAGATTGCACCCATCGTTTTTTCCATCCATCTACAGAGCAAAGAGGGAGAAAAAAACAACATATAAAAATTATTTCTAAAAACAAATTTATTTCTGAGCTGGGAGTGGTGGTGCTCACCTGTAATCTCAACACTGAGGAGGCTGAGGCAGGAGGATTGTTGCGAATTCGAGACCAGCCTAGGCTACAAAGTGAGCTCAAGGCCAGCCTGAACTACACAGAGAGAATCTGTCTCAAAATGACAAAAAAAATTTTGTTTTCCTGAAGACGATCAAATGTAGCCAGCCACTGGCCAAGTCTTATGGGAACAGTAAGACTAAGAGAGAGGACAACTGCAAGCTTCTGAAGTCCTGCTCACTGTCTGACCCCGGACCTTACTCTTCCTGTTCCACCAGGTGGAGAGGCGTGAATACCAAGTAGCTGAGCCACTTATGACATTATGCCTTACCCACCCTCTTTCATGACAGGTAAGGCATGAAGACTACCGTGAGAATAAAGAGTGGAAGGCTAAGAAACATTTATTATCATAAAAGTAGATGGAGGCTGGTCATGGTGGCGCATGCCTGTAATCCCGCCTCTCGGGAGGCAGAGGCAGCAGAATCACTACAAATTTGAGGTCAGCCAGGGGTATGTAATGACAAGAAGTCCAGCCTAAACTGCAGAGTGAGATCCTGTCTCATAAAGATAAAAAAAAAAGTAGAAAGAAAACTGTGCTTAAGGAAGTTAAGCCCTCACACATTCTTTTTTTTTTTTTTTTTGTCTTTGGAGGCAGGATCTCACTATGCAGTTCAGGCTGGTCTTACACTCACTTTGTAGCCCAGGTTGGCCTCGAACTCACAATGATCCTCCTGCCTCAGCCTCCTGAGTGCTGGGATTATAGGTGTGTACCACCACACCTGACCTTTGCACATATTTATAGTTAGGAAAATAAAATCAGCTCACCAAGTAAAAAGATTAGCGATAATATTTTATTCCTCTTGAATTAGTAATGATCATAATGAACAATCAATTTCCAGTTACCTTTTTTTCCCTTTCACTTACACTTTTTAGACTCTCCCTTGTAGTTTCAAGGCGATGCTGACAAATGTGTTCTGCTCTGGCACAGATGGCAGGCAGACAAAGAAGCAGTTCTCTCTGGGGCCTGGCACTCCGTCCAAACACTCAGACCTTTGCTGATTCCTGCTTCAGAGTTGCTGACTCCTACTTCCTGGGCCCCCGGGGTCCCAGAGTCACAGAGCAGGCTGAGAAGGAAGAGGCCTTGGGGTAGACTTTCTTTCATTTCCCTGCAGCTGAACCATATTGCTCCAGTCCCACTCCCCAGTGTCTGGCGCTGACCCCTGGAAGCCCCACATCCAGTAAGACCACCGAGCCGGCTCTGTCAGCTCCTCATACTCCAGTCTGATGACTCAACCGGCTCCTCTCATACACCAGGGGACTCGCTTTCCAAGGAGAGAATATGCCGCCCTGAGTATGCTGCTTTGATATCCGTATCACATATCAACTGTTTTGAATTAATGACACTTTAAAAAGTAGTTGCAAGATCTCTCTGACCTCCATTCTGTTTCTTTAGAGGAGGAATGCGTATATGCCTATAATTCCAGTGATCTTGAGGCTGAGGCAGGAGGATCACTGAGAGTTTGAAGCCAGCCTGGACTACATAGTGACTTCAAGGTCAGCCTGAACTGCATATTGAGACCCAGTCTCAAATCTCCCTCCCCCAAAAATGAAGTTCAAGCCCAGCTTAAGCAACTTAGTGAAAAAGCAAGACCCTATCTCAAAATTTATTTTTATTTATTTATTTATTGTCCTTTTTTTTGAGACAGGGCTGTGCAGTTCAGGCTGGCCTTGCGCTCACTTTGTAGCCCAGGCTGGTCTCAGAACTCACAAAGATCCTCCTGCCTCAGCCTCCCGAGTGGGATTATAGGTGTGTGCCACCACGCCCAGCAATCTCAAAATTTAAAAGTGTGTGTGTGTGTGTGTGTGTGAGAGAGAGAGAGAGAGACCCAGTGAAAGGCCCTGAGTTCCATCCCCAGTACTGCAAAAAATAAAAAATAAGTAAGCAGGCCTGAAATTTCTATGTGAAAAATGTCCTCCTAGTACAAAGAGGAAAGTAACATTGTTATTTTCAAGGACAGAAGTTGAAGCTACACAAAGGATGTTACTAACCATTATCTTCCTCGTGACTTCACCCGGTTACCACCTGACCCCAAGTCTCTTTGCATTATCACATTTCAGAACTTACTCTTACTTGTTCAAGTCAGCTGTGGACATAAGTCTAACTGATTCTTTGGCTCTTCACTTCCTTATGGGGGCTCCCAAGCCACACAAAACATGTATTAAATAAATCTGTATACTTTCCTCGGGTTAGGGCCAGGGATATAGCTCAGCAGCACAGTACCTGCCTGCCAAGGGCAAGGTCCTGAGTTCGATTCTTGGTACAAAAAAAAAATGTTCTTACTTTCCTCCTGTTACTCTGTCTCACTGTTAATTTAATTTGCAGGCCCAGAAGAAAAAAACAGCCTGAAAAAAAAGGATCAAACAAGGCGTACAGGGTGGGGGATATAGCTCAGTGGCACAAATGCCTGCCTGGCAAGTGCAAGGTCCTGAGTTCGATTCCCCGTACCAAAAAAAAAAAAAAGAGAGGTACAGCTCAGTGGTAGAGAATTTGCATAGCATATGAGAGGCCCTGAGTTCCATCCCAATGCCACAAAATAAAACAAAAATTTAAAAGAGACGAGAGAACATTTTTGCTCTCCAACACTTCCTGTGGTCTTCCTCTGTCTCTCAAAAGGTCTCTGTATTTGAAGGGCCAAGAGGACCGTCATGACCCCCTCTCGTGCTTCCTCCCAAGGAAAGGGCTCAGGGAGTTTCTTTCTGCCTAAAGTTATGACTTAAGGAAGTGGATCCTACTTCCCTGACCATAGTCAACCCAATGAAGGATAAAGTCAAAAGATGTGTTCCTATGCGTTAGGCCCTCATGTGACTCCCTAGAAATGTTTCCTTATTTATACCTGCGGACAGTGCTATGAGATCTATATTAGTCCACGTTGTACCTAGTAAGTAAATCTCTAGGCGGACCTGAGATTTATTCTCGAGTTTATCTGATTTCGAATCTGTCTTCTGAGCAGAGAGCAAAGTACAAGGGAAAGAACAATGTAGGGGAAAGAAGTATTATAATAATACATGCTAAAACAAAGTTTAAAAAAAGAGTGGTAGCCAGGCATGGTGGCCCACGCCTATAATCCCAGCACTCAGAAGACTGATACAGGAGGATCGTTGTAAGTTCGAAACCAGTTTGGGCTACAAAATGAGCTCAAGTCCAGCCTGAAGTGCATAGCAAGACCCTATCTCAAAAAGACAAAAAGAGAGAGAGGGGGGGGGTATTTATTTATTTATTTATTTATTTGTCTTTTTGAGACACAGTTTCTCTATACACTTCAGGCCAACCTCGAACTCACAGCAGTCCTCCTGCCTCAGCCTCCTGAGAGCTGGGATTACAGGCGTGAGCCACCACGCCCGGCTGAAAGAGTGGTATTTAAAACAAAAGGAAGAACAGCTGGTACTTACCAGCCATATGTCAGGCCCTACGTTGAGTGCGTTACATGCAGTATCTCATTGCTTTCTCATAATAGCCCCTGTGATGAATGCCTTACTTTTCCCTATTAAAAGATAATAAAACTGAAGCTCAGAATCTTGCCAAAGAGTTCTGCTGAGTCAGTGGTCAAGCAGGCTTAGACTCAAATGTATGCAACACCAAAATCTGGACCTTTAACCCCATACAACTTCCCATGAGTTCCTGTGCGTGAAAAGCTGCTTACGACCTAAGAAGTGTGCAACAAATAAAGGAGTCAGTCATGGAACTTTATAGTTCGTGGTTACAATTTGTGTATAAGTTGAGTAATGTCTGTCTTTCCCACCAAACGTATGGAAAGTTCCATACGTTTTTTATGAGCCATTGTATCCCAGTATCCAGCACAGAGTAAATCACCAAAGGTAACTGTGGAGTGAGTGAATGCATTACCCAGCCTTTTGCTTACGCTGTAAATGTCTCAGCCTTACAAATGGAGTGAGAGGTTTCTTTATTCATCCATTTGACTAAAGTTAATTGAGCCTAGCGAGCATGGGGAAACTGCTGTGCAACTTTGACCTTGGACTCTATGGGAAGATGGAATTCCGAATTTATCTTCATTAATTATTTTTCTGGGTGAAGAGTGTTGATGACAATCAAACCTGACCAGTATAGGGTGTATAATGTCATATGATTAATAAAATAAAGTTCCATTTAAATGTTTCACATTTTTTGTTTGTTTGCTTGCTTGCTTTTTTTTTTTTTTTTTTTTTGTCTTTTTGAGACAAGGTCTCGCTATGCAGTTTAGGCTGGCCTTGAGCTCACTTTGTAGCTCATGCTGGTCTCAAATTTGCAATGATCCTCCTGCCTCAGCCTCCTGAGTTCTGGGATTACAGGTGTCCACCACCACGTCCGGCTTGTTTCACATATTTCCTCTTTTTTTTTTTTTTTTTTTTTTTTTTGAGACAGGGCTCCACTATGCAGTTCAGACTGTCCTTGAACTCACTTTGTTGCCCAGGGTGGCCTCCAACTTGCAGCGATCCTCCTGCCTCAGCCTCCCCAGTGCTGGCATTACAGGCATGTGCCACCACGCCCAGCTACACGTTTCCTCTTTACCCCATAACACATTTTACCATCATAAGCAGGGTGACACACATCTGTAATCCCAGCATCTAAGAGGCTGAGGTAGGAGGATCGCTTCAAGTTCCAGGCCAGTCTGGGCTACAAAGTGAGTTCAAGGACAGCCTGAACTGCATGGTGAAACACTGTCTCAAAAAGCCAAAAAAATAAATAAATAAATAAGAGGAAATATGTGAAATAAGCCAGAAGTGGTGGTGCACATCTGTAATCGCAGCACTTAGGAGGCTGAGGCAGGAGGATCCCAATTTTGATTCCAGGCTGGGCAATTTAATGACGTAGTAGAACCTGTGTCAAAATTAAAAATTTTAGGGGCTGGGGATTTAG